GTGTCCCTGGTTAGCAACCAGGGACGCTGATCTCTCTGAAAGTGGCCGGAGCCAGCCATAAGATCACGGCTGGCTCCGCCCAGCTGTCAGAAGCAGGCTGTCGGCCAGCCAATGGCCGGCCGCTCGGCCAGCTTAGTCTTTCAGCACGGCTCAGCGCTCGACTGAGCCGCTCGGCCGTGATCGGGAGCTGTACGGGCTATTGTGAATAGCCCGTACAGCACCCCCTCGGTTCTCCAGAACCGAAGGGGTCCTGGTGCCGAAGCTAGCCGAAGGATCGGCCGAAGCTACGGCCAGATCCTTCGGCAGCTTTGTGAATAGACCCCTATGTTACGAGTCTATTGCAGGTAGGGAAAACATTTCCTCAGTCTCCAAAATAAACTCCTCTGTTGTAAGAGCTGCTGTATATGCTGAGAGCTCTCTCTCTCTCTCTATGCTCTGTAAACTCCTGGCACATACAGTAATTCTAACAGTGGAGAAAGTCAGTAATGTGTCCCCTGATAGCCACAAAGGCTGAGCAGCTACATCTAATACAGCACCAACATCTCATCGACTACAGCTTTCCCTTCAGTTATACCTGTCAGCTCTCTTCCTCTCTGTGCATGCTCCCACTGTCATACACAGCAATAACCTAGGAGTAGAGTTGTGAGAGCAGCAGCTGGGGTCACCACAGAGAGGAATCTCACAGTTTCATATATAGATTGAAAAAAGACAGAAGTTCTCTGAGTTCAACCCATAAACCAAAAATAGAAAACCCTCAATAAACAGCATAAACAGAACAATGTCCACAGTTACCCACAGTTGATTCAGGGGAAGGCAAAAAAAACAAGCTATAAAGCATGATTCAATTTGCTCCAACAGGCGAAAATACATCCTTGCTGATCCCCTGGTAATCAGATATTTAACACTGGATGAACTCAATGAAGTGTTAGATCTGTAAGAAAATTTAAGCTCGCTTGCGGTCGTGTTCCATGTTTGCCACGGGTCCTCATTGAGTTTAACAGGGCCTGCCGCACAACAAATGTGGCCAGGAAGCTCATGTAGCAGATTTTGTGACACGCATTTTGCTTCCGCGTTTATGCGTTTTTTCATGCACGCTAACGTGGAGAAAAAAACACGTGTCTTCTTGGTCTTGTTTGGGTTGCCATTAGAAATAAATGGCAACACAAATGTGTTGCATTTTGACACGTTTCCATGACTTTAAACCATCAGCAATTAACAAATACTCATGCCCTTGAGTTTGTGAGAACAACATGCACTGCAAAATATCATTCAATATACTTAGAGAACGCAAGCTTTGACATTTCTTCAAGGTGGCAGCTAAAGAACAATAGCTTTCATCAAGATTAAAAAAGAAAAAAAAAGGTAGTTATATCTCATAAAATATCTTGTGGATGACCCATAAGATATTTTGGAGCAGACAAAATCTGGAGCAGTTGCCCATGGCAACCGATCAGCTTCTCTCTTCATGTTGTTCAGTTAGGAATGAAAGAGAGAAGCTGATTGGTTACTGTGCACAGCTGCTGCAGATTTTGTCTGGATCTCCAGTTTTGATAAACTCTCCTCTATGAATACTGTATATGCACATTTCACCAAAAATGTGTGGCTAAATATGGTGGCTATCAAAAAGAATAAAACGGTGTGTAACATCATAAAAACTACATAGGAAAACATTACTTTTTGTGAAATTATACATTTTTAAAGGAAAACGGTGCTTTGTTTGCTGTGAAAACACCTTTTACTTCCACGTATAGAGGAGCATGTGAACCACTCTAAGATGACACTGGGCCAAAAAACGAGCACCAGCACATAGCCAGAAGTCATAGCACTGTGTGAGCTACAGTCTGGGCAACCCATAGCATACGTAGAGGAGAGGGGGTATTAGAATGACCTTGTTGCTTTGCCCTGCATAGGCAATGTACATATTCAGTTTAAGGCCTCATTCACACGACTAACAGCCGGCCTGTACAGATCTGTGCTATGTGCATGGCCGTATCAGGCCACTCCCAGGAAGGAGAGGTGCTGCGTGTGATTGCACGCAACAGCCTGTTCTTCTCTATGGGAGTACACAGCTGTACGCCACCTTATGCTCACACGAACTGCACACCCGTGCGGGTGTCCCTGCTTGCACACAGACAGGATCCATCTTGTCTGTGTACGAGTACGGACATCCACACCCGCACAGACGTGCAGTTCGGGTGAGTGTACGGCCGCATACTCCCATAGAGAAGAACGGGCTGCTGTGTGCAATCACACGCAGCACCTGTCCTTCCTGGGAGCGGCCCGATAGGGCCGTACACACAAAACCGATATGTATGGGCCGGCTGTTAGTTGTGTGAATGAGGCAGAAAAAAGGCATACAGTCATATTATATATACACAGTAGAAATCAGACCTATAAAGATATAATCTATAAAACATGCAGAGGTAAGTTGTAATTTGCAACCTCTTTACTCTGCAAATGAAGAACTCAACTTTACCATACAGGGTTGTATCTAGCTATTTCAGCAACTATTACATTTTCCCAGATGAGTGTCAGCTGAGATGGCCAATCAACAGAAAACAGAGAGGAACTGTGGCTCTTCCAGCTGCTCTTCCAGCTGTACAATGATAAAGGGCTGTCCAGGAAACACTTATAAAAAGTGCAAAGATACAACTTAACAGAAAGCAGCAGTGCTTTTTAATTAGTTTGAGGATTCCAAACTCAGAAAGCAGAAACTATACCGGTATCTAACAAAATCTATAGAAATCTACTTCTTAGACAGTTCAGCCATGTGGCCTGGAATTTTCAAGAATTTAGCGATGATCTGTTGGGTGGTCTACAAGGCATTCATAACATTCCATTAATATACTCATAACCTAATGCAAAAATGCAAATAGAAAATATACAACTTACTTTACTGGCACACTTCTCTGCTGTTTTAACTTTTCACTGGCCTATGAATAAACACAAATGTTGGGTTAATGTATCTGTTTACAGACTATTTACAGTAGAATATCAAAGAGATAGAAAAATAATGTATTTATGTTTAAAACTTTGTTTTAACTTTTTGGTTTACACTATTCTGAAATTCATACAAGGGAAGCTCACTCAAGTTTCCTTTTTAATTATTTTTTATTGTAAAATCCAACTTTGATGGCTATCTCTGGCTGGGCAAGCAGAGTGCTGCAACAAAATATAGCAAATCTCAGTACTGTAACCTCCCAGGCAAGTAAATATGTTGTCTCACCTGTATGATCTCCTTGGCCTAGATTTAATATATTAAATACTTTAAAAATATATTTTATTCAGATTTGTTTTATTATACTATACTTCAAAGTGCACCTATGACCACTGCAAATTTACTACAATCACGGGTTTTATATAATTTTTTGCATATAATTTTGTATCCAGAGTGCTGCAGAAGTCCCAAAACCCAAGGTCTTCTATTATGAAAGTTCTGACTAGATCTTCTATAATCATATTCTGTCCTACCATTCTCCACCTTAGCCTCTCTATTGGTCGAAAAATAGAAAGAGCAGCCTCACTGGTCAAAAGAAAAACAAAAGGCTACAAATTTACTTTAAGAGCCGTTCCAGGAAACACGGGAGCCCAAGCAGTTGCACATCAATTATCCAGCAATTTCTGCCTTTGATTTAAAGACATAGGGGGTTATTCACAAACGCTGAACGCTGTTCGGCTATTGACTACAGGCTTGTACAGTGGATTTCAACTGCATATCGGCTGAAATCAGCCATACATCGGCTTGCTTCGGGTGGCTTCAGGTCGGCCAGACATGCTCAGCATGTTTGGCCGACCAGAAGTGCAGAAGGAGTTCGACTCCAACATCTGGAGGAGTTCGACTCCAACATCTGGAGGAGTTCGACTCCAACATCTGGATCGGCTAAGCCGAACCTCCGGCAGGCTATTTGCTGCTGTCCAGCCTATTCTCATAGATGCCGAACATCATGTTCGGGCGACCCAAAGTGCAGAAGGAGTTCAACTCCAACATCTGAAGGAGTTCGACTCCAACATCTGGATTGGCTAAGCCGAACCTCCGGCAGGCTACTCGCTGCTGTTCAGCCTATTCTCATAGATGCCGAACATCATGATCGGCTGACCCAAAGTGCAGAAGGAGTTTGACTCCAACATCTGAAGGAGTTCGACTCCAACATCTGGATCGGCTAAGCCGAACCTCCGGCAGGCTACTTGCTGCTGTTCGGCCTATTCTCATAGATCCCGAACAGCAGTGAGTGACATTAAACCCTCAGATTTTTTTACATAAAACAATACTGTATGTGTGCCTTACTGTAATCCATGGTTGTTTCCCTTCTCTTTGCTGCTCTTCCTTTTAAATCTGTATCTCTTCTCATGCTGGGTAGAACTTCTGTTTTGCAGCAGACTGCCTTGTCTCTGGAATGGATACATGGTGTCTGTGTGCAGGTTCACAACCTGAGCCAGCACTACAGGTAGAGGCACTCAGCTGCAAAGGGAAGTTCTCCCCCAGCATGAGAAGATATAAGGATTTAAAAGGAAGAGCAGCAAAGAGAAGGGAAACTACCATGGATTACAGTAAGGCACACATTACAGTATTGGTTTATGTTAAAAAATCTGAGGGTTTAATGTCACTTTAAGGCTGTTTTTTGCTGGATGAGCAATGCTACAAAAAGTAGTTAAAATGTTTATAACTCAGAAGAATCAATACAATTGAAAAAAATAAATGAGAGTACCATTGTTCAATTTTTCAAATAAATAAATAAATGGGTTTATCAATGTTTGCAAGTATCTTGACTACTTTTTGCAGCACCCAAACAGCCATTTGAGGCTACAAATATTACAGATGGCCATTTTGGGATATGGAATGCCTAAAAAGGAAGTCAGCTGTGAGTTGGGAAAGTCTGCTACCCACTATTCCGTCTTTGTTTTACATCAACTAATTTAGGAAAATTATAAATAGTAACTCCTCAACATGCATGCATGCTTGACATCCATCAACCCAATTTTATTTCAGTAAATGACAAGATGACACTGGGCTAGAAATGTGAGCATTTTTTTAATAACTATTACATCAGCTATGTTATTTTATATTATATGTTATTTTTCTGCAATGTTTTTCACATTCATGGATCCCCAAAATGTATTACAAAATGATTTCTCATTTCTATTTTACAAGTTACGTGACAACATCCTCCCCAAACATGCTTATTATATAAATTCATATTTATGACTCAGACTGCAATTATTTTTTTATTGCATTTCAAAATTGTGAATAGGAAAAAAGCCGCATCAGTATGAATGCCCTTAGTTTTTCAGTTTATTGGCACTTGAATGCAAAGTAATTTTCTTCTAAAGTACTTAAAAGCAAAGACTGACAGTGTTAAAACATTAAACTGTATAAACGGCTTTGTGGAAATGACTGGTGGTCTGTACAGCTCCTGCTGAAATGTGTCATAAAATTACCACTATAATTAGCATAGCGATTCCTTCTTTATGACAAGGGATCATGTCACTGTAAATGAACAGCAGAGGTAAAATGTTAAAAAAGAAAAAAAAAAACTTCTATTCCTTTCAAGACGGGATTGGGAAATGTGACAATAGCAACCTACAGTGCTATTATCTGTGCACAGCCAACCATGTAGAAGAATATGACTAGTATCAAGACACCGCAGAGCTTCAAATGTGACACTCTCTGGGTCTCAAAAATTTTTTGGCTAATCTTATATTCTATCATGTGCCAATTTTTTTGTGCTGTTTGTCTTCTCTGCAGACAAATATTAGTGTGAGAAGGCATTACAGAGAGGCAGCATAACTCCACTGTTCTGATGTTTAACCTAGTGAAAGTTGGTGAATATTTATTGCACAGCAGTAGCTATTTAATTGTGTGGCTCAGCCACTTTAAATGATGTTTTAACTATTTTTATAAAAAATACCTCAGAACACAAAGGGGCAAGTGAAGGAGCAAGGGGCGGTGAACATGCAGCTTTCCATCATGTCTATACTAGCCTTCTTGGTCTTGAGGATTTGGGGTATTTTGAGAGGGAGTCAATAAAAGGGGGTTCTCTTAATGCATGTACCAGTCTTGTTCTGATGGCAAAGGGCTCTTTAGCATCCCCAGTGCTCAGGAAAGAGTAATGTCATGGGGGAGTTAGGTGTAGCCTATGGGGAGGGAAGAAGGGTTCTAACCCTTTGTGGTGATGCAGGCAAGGTATTAAAAAACAGATTCACATGGGTCACCCATCATACAGATGAAATAAATGGAGGCAGGAATTGGTGGCCAAGCCTTCATAACTGTCATATAGTGTCAAGCCTTGCTGATTAGAGCAGTGCAGTTTTGATGCCTCCTGGAAAATGTTAAGGCATCCAGAGGTACCTGTCAACCTTGATTAATGTTCTCAGTTCAACATACAAATCTGACTAATTCACTATGCATTTTATAATATAACATTTATCATAAAAATAGGAGGTTGAGCTTCTGTTCAACAGTATGTTTGGTTGCTTAAAAAAACAGGTTAAGGTTTTCTTAAGACTTCAGCAAAAGCATAGGGTAAAAGTTAGTTACTGTAAGATCCTCCGCGGGTCCCGTGGGCGCCCATTGCATTCCATGCTGGAGCGCGTCGCCAGAGGGAGCGTCACTACGGCTCCGCCCCGTAGAAAGTGGCGCGTGTGTTCCAGGGTGGAAGCCGCTCCATTAGGTAGTGTAACTGAAACCGTTTAGATCTATAACTGTGGTCTATGAAGTAATAGACCATTTCAACCTTAAAAACATAATTGAGGATCACGGCAGATGATGCTGTAACCCCTAACTCTCCGTATAGAGTATCTGAGAGTGACGCCTGGGGTAAAAGCCTGACTAGCCGTTCCAACTGGTTACAGTGTTCTACGGCCTCCTCTCATAGTTCTGCAGCTGAGATCCATAGCACAGAGGATTAGGGGGAACATGACAGTTACACAGGTAGGAATTCAACTAAGTCCACTTTGTGAGTGCAGAGATAAACCTAGGACTGCGTAATGTAACTGTATTTGGGTTATATATAGCTGAATTCTATAAAAACTCACATAGTTGAATTGGAAGACTCTAGTTTGAAAATAAGGGATACAAACAGCAGAGTGAGATTGTTAGATTAATTTACTAAAGGCAAATAGGCTGTTCACTTTGCAAGGATACCCAATCATTAGGAATGAAAATTAAAAATTAGTATACTTGCTTAAACATCATTAGTTGATGGAAGTCAGCAGAGCTTCCCATGAAAAGTGCAAATTCCCTTGCTAAGTGAACAGTATATTTGCCTTTAGTAAATCAACCAGTTTATTTTAGCTAACATAGCTCTTGTGAGAAGGTGTATTTGCTAAGTGACCAGTAAAGCTGTCACTATTAAAGGCACAATGGTTAGTGAGTCTCACAGTTGCATAGAGATTCACTAGCTGCAGCATCTATACACAACAGGGAAATCCAATATAGGTAAGAACAATATTTTCACTATCTGCAATTTGTAATAGAATTTCGACTGATTTTGGTCCCACACACAATATTCTAGTGATTTTTACCAGCTAAGGACTTAGTAAATAGATTGTTTAAAAATAATGACCAGTGTCTATGTTTACATTACAGCTTTTACGGCCTTATAGATCCCTCACTATCACTCCCAGTTTGTTGCTTGGTAAAAACCTAGTCCTTCAGGGTATGGACCAGCATGTGACCTCTTCCTCAGTGATACAGTGCTCGAGCTTGAGTAGCCAAGTAGCAGGCCCAAACACTGTTTCAGGCACAGGACAGAACAGACATTAAGATAGTGTAAACACCATCCTACAAGGAGCTTCCACAGGGTTAAGACTTGTTGTTTAAATGCAGCAACAATGTGTGTGGGATGGATTGGTAAATTATTAATTTTGCCCCTTTACAGCAATTTAACTCCAGACTCCATTCTAATGCATCTATTTGTTTTTCTTAAGTTGCCAT